TGTCCAGCCTGGCCTTGGGCACTGCCAGGGATCCAGGGGCAGCCCCAGCTGCTCTGGGCACCCTGTGCCAGGGCCTGCCCACCCTGCCAGGGAACAATTCCTGCCCAATATCCCATCCAGCCCTGCCCTCTGGCACTGGGAGCCATTCCCTGGGTCCTGCCCCTCCATCTCTTGTCCCCTCTCCAGCTCTCCTGGAGCCTCTTTGGGCCCTGACAGGAGCTCTGAGCTCTCTCTGGAACACCCCCAGACCTCCCAACCTTTCCTCACAATATATTTTATGTAATATATATATATAAATATCAGGCCAATGTCTACAAGAGAGTCACGAAATTCCAGCTTTTTCCCAAAGGCCTGGCTATTCCCACAACAGGGGCTGCTCAGAGGATTTGTTTCCCTTTTCCCAAGTGGAGCGAACAAAGGTGCTGCCAGCTGGCAACCGAGGAAACATCTCCACAGGGATCCAGCCAGCAGCATCCTCCACACCAGCTGCTCTGTGGGGCACAGACAGCACAAAGGGCAGTCCCTGAAATGGGAGGAAAATTCCTTGGCTGAGCAGGAGGTGGAAAAATGAGGAATGGAGAGCAGAGCCTGGAGCAGAGCTGGTGCCTCCTGCCCTACCCCACGCACCCGACTTGTTCCTACTTAGATGTCCCAGGGAGAGTGAGGAGTGCCAAGATCTCAGGAGGCTCCCTGGCTGCAGGGGGATGGCAGGATGGCCCTGGGGTCCTGCACTGACCTGTGCCTCCCCAGCTGCCCAGGACACAGAGGGAGATATCCCCTGTCCCTTCCAGAACCAGCTCCTGCAAAGCTCCTAACCCGCATTCCCGCTTCTGGAGACCCTTCCACCTCAGACTGTTCTGATTCTGTGACCTGCCCCTGCCTGTGCTCAGGCTGAGGAAATCAGTTTGCACCAGGAAATATCCCAAACAGGTTTGGGATTTTCCAGGCTTCACAACCCACACCACAAGTCCCCCTGCAAATCTGTCGGGTGCTTCTGAAACCCCACGCTGAGAGTTCAGCATTGCAGAAGTTTTGGCTGGCTGGGCTCTCTGCAAAGACATCAATTTCACCCACTAATAGGCACAGCAAACTTGATTTCAGGCCCACTTACAATGCTGTAAATCCAGGCTAACCATATTAAACCCAGGGCAGCTGATGCCAGAGACTTAAAACCAGCACGAGTAAAAGTTACCTCAGGTGTGTGCAGCCAACAGCCTGGCCTGAGGCCACCCAAATTTTTCTATAAATGTTCCATTAATATTAACAGCTAAATCCCTGGCCTGCCTTAAAACCCTCAGCCCCACCTAAGTTAGCAGCAAGAGTTCTGATTTAATTTGCTCCCAAGGCTGACAGACCACAGCAGCAGTGGCTGCTCCATGATGATGTAGTTCCCCCGGAGTTAATCACATTTATTTGTGTCTCTAACAGGGTATAAACACTGTCCTGGCTGAGGACCAACCTTTTGCTCCTTTTCAAGGCACAGGAAAAAAATCTGAATGGAAACCACCAAGTCCTACAACTTCTCCTTCAGTTTTTCACCTAAATTCCACCTAGTGAAAAATTCCCCAGGAGTATGAAATCTAGTGGGTTATTTTCTTATTTGATAAATGAATTTTTGAGGCTTTCTAGAAATCTCCCACCACAGGGAAGAGCTTTAAGTAAAACACACCCTGGAGCTGATGCATCAATCCTTGAGCTATGCCCAAAGCATGGGCTACACCAGGCAATATTCACTTTTTAATAGTAAGGAGAAGTCTTTTTTCCCGAATTAAAAGTAGCAACAGCCATGCACAGCCCATCCCGCCCCTAATAAATCCTTTAGCACAGATTTCCCTGTGGCTCCAGACATGCTGGGCTCAGCAAGGCACAGCTCAAACCTTAAAATTTCCCCAATCCATGATTAACATCCCAAACTAATCCCAAAGCAATGGTTTTACTGAGGTGAGGAGGAGGAATTAAACACAATTTCATGAATTAATAACTATTTAAACTGAACAGCCTGAACCACAGGGCGTTTCTTTCCAGCTGCCTCGCTGTCCCACATCCCAGCCTGGCCACTGGTTTGTACTGGTGTGGTTGTACTGGTGCCCACGCCACACGAAAAACACAACCACAGCTTTTACAGACAAGGCAAATTTGGGCTTTTAAATTGTTTCAGATCATGTGAACAGTCAGTTTTAGTTTCTGTTCATAACGTGAACAGACTGAAACCTGAAACCAGAAAGAAATCAGAAAGAAGCAGAATAGTGGGCAGCTTGTAAGAGAAAAGAAAGGATAAGTAGCAAAACCTCCCCATTCAGAAAAATAGAAAGTGTTAGGAGGAACCAGCAGAGTGGCAAAAAAGACTTTCAGAAAATCAGAATGAGAAATAAAACACCTAGAATTGAAGATATCAGGGTAAATGCCATCTGAGAGCGGCACCAGGATTTAGTGATAAATGTTAAGATGTAACATTCTGTGCTTGTGGGCAGCAAGAATTGGAGTGGATGATAGGTTGTTGCAGCCCGTGGATTAATGTGACAACTAATTTTTTAGAGATTTTTACACATCTAAAGTAGAATCAAGAGGCTGGGTTGTCTCTTTGTCAATAAAATTCTGGTTTCATGTCAGCACTGGGAGAACTGCCCTGCTTTTTCCAGAATCCTGGAGCTGTGGGTGCTGCTCCACAGAAACCACAGCCTTGAGCAACCCAACACAAGCCACAAAGTGCTGAGCACTTCTGGCTGTAATTTGGTGCTTACGAGGAGACTGAGCTGTTCTGAAAACCCAGCCCAGATTATGGGTTTCAAAGCTAGAAAATCTGTCCCTGAGCTCTTAATCCAGTTTATGGGTTCATCACAAATGGAGCTGAGCCATTCTTGGAAAGAAAACTTGGCAAAAGGAATCTTTCTTCAGTGTATCAGTAGAAACCATGGACAAAGCCCAGGCCAAGCAATCTAGATGGGGGAGTAATTAAAACATGTCACAGCCTCTGTCTGGGACAGTGAGGCAGCTAATGGGGCTGAGTGCACACAACAGGGCTGACACCAAAACCCACCTGGAGCTGGGCTGGGGTCACACACCTGGAGGGCAGCTGGAGCCTGCAAAACCTGGTGCCAAGGAGCTTCCTGCCACAGGCAGGGTGCAGGAAACCATCTCCCCGTGCTCAGTTCTCCAGCTTCTCAGCTTCACAGAGCTGCTCTCCCCCTTTTTATACTTATTGGGAAAAAAGCCAGACCTGAAAGGGGCTATTTCCTTTTAAAAGTCTCTTCTAACAGCAGTTCTCTTTCAACAGCTCATTTACTGCCCGTGTGGGACTCCAAAGTGAAATCTGCTCAGCCGTGGATCTAAAAGACTTCCCTTCGCACTAATCCTCAACGATCCTTGCTATTCTCTGGCAGCCAGGCTGGATTCTCTCTTGATTGCCCACATCAATAAATCATCCATTATCTGTGCTTGAATTTGGTTAAGATTCTGGTTAATGATGCATGAGATAGATGAGGACTCAGCTGATGAGCTGTGCTGCTCAGTAAAAGATGGTTGAAGTGGGAAAAACAGCCAGGACGGATTTTTGCCATTAAAAACCCACTTGTCTGGTCTTGTTCATGGATAGGAGCAGATGCACTGGTTAAAGCCACAATGGATTTGTGGAGTCTCACACAAGGGAAATTGGAAGCAGAAGAAGAATCTGGGATGTGTTTGCTGCCAATAGACACGAGGAGCACCTGCAGGAGTGGTTGAAAACAGAGAGGGAGATGATCTCCAAGGCCAGGAGACCTCGGGCAGTGCTCTGCAGGGCAGCCTCTCCTCCCAGGCCTCTCACCACCCATCTTTTCTCTTTATCTTAGCACCATCTAGAGGGACGTGTCTGCACACCCGAGAGGAGAACACCCACACACCGGGTGTGGAGTCTGGGCAAACCAAACCTCAGAGGAGCAGGGACATCCCCACAGCCCAAAAACACCTGGGTAAGTGCTCCTGGGGACAGGGACATCGATGCACCTCATCCCAAACCTGCTGGGACGGGGATCCTGGGCTCAGCCAGAGCTGGGGGCACTTCTGCACTCCCCGTCTGTGCTCCCAGGACGGAGCTGCAAAAGTTTTTCCGCTGTTTTATTTTCCCTCGTTGGGTTTTGTTTGTCATTCCAGCCCCTGGCAGAGGGGAGAAGCAAATGACAGCCTTTGGAGAAGGGGACAGACATGCTTCGGGGTGGGATTAGGGGGACCGGAGGATGTCACCTGCTCCCACATAGCTGTGTGTCCCTGGGACACTGTTATTCAGAACCCTGCCAAACACCAGAATACAGCACCGTACACCAAGCTGGCAATGAGATTCCTGTCCTTGCTTCCCAATCTTCCCTCCCTGGCCCATTTAAAGCACACATTTGAAGCACAATGACTTTGCAGATAAAGCAGAGCCCGCAGTTTGGCACGGTGGGTACAGCAAGAACCATCCTGGCCCCTCTCCCTGCCCCAGTCAAGGCATGGAAAGTTCTCCAGCATTGCCTGACTGCGCTGCTCAGGTGTCAGAGCTCCCTGTCCCAGTGAGCTCAGCTTTGAGCAGCAGGCAGAGGATTCCCAGCATGGCAGGGATCTGCCCCACCCGTCCTGGTTGCTCTGGTTTGGCTGAGCCGCTGCCAGACGCTGCTGAGTGAAGATTCCCAGACAGCTGGCACAGCCCTGTCTGTCACCAGGAGCTTGGAGCTGTCCCTGGAGACTCCAGGGAAGGTGTAGGGCTGAGCCATTCCCTTCCCACTGCCCCTGTGAGATGTGTGGGAGGGGAGGGAGGGGAATTGTGTGCACAGAATTGTCCAGAATTTCACCTATCCCTTAAAGCAACAGCTGGATCCTGAACAGGGGAGGGAACTGGTGGGCAGGAGCTCTCCAAGGTCAGCAGCTTTCTTGCATGTTTTATTGGAGTCCTATTTCCACTCATCCATCCAGGACAAGGAATTACAGCTCCCTTCTCTTCCCCACAGCTTCTCCACACCCGTGTGTGTGGGGACAGCTCTATTTGGGTGTTTTCCAGCCCCCTCTGGTCACCTGCCCCAGCTGTGGTGGGTGTGGAGCACGGTGGTCTGGATGAACTGGCAGAGGCAGGGGACGCTGCTGTGGCCCAGGTGTGCCCCTGGCCCGGCCCGAGGGAGCCGGCCCGTCACCAGGAGCCGGACGTAGCATCCACTGAAAATCACCAGGAGCTGCTGGGCCATGGCCTGGAGGGAACAAGAGAGGAGTCAGAGCAGGGCACCGCTGTGGGCAGAGCAGAGCACACATCAAACACCATTTTTTCCCTGCTTCAAGGATTGTCCTACTCTGTCAAGAGCGGGACAGCAGCCAATGGCACAGATAAGTGGCCCAGATCCCCTTGTGGCCAGCACACTGTCCCCACGGGGGGGTGACACCAAATGACCGCTGGCCCACGGGTGGCCCTGGGGACCTGCCCGCTCTGTCCCTGCCTCCTCAGGCTTGTTTTTGCCTGTGGACAGCCAGAGAACCTCAATCTGCAGGGATGTCACCTGCACTGAATTCCCTTAGTGACAGGAAAACAGCAAAATAAATCAAAATCACCCTTTTGGTAGCTCCGTGCTGAGCGGGAATCAGGACACATTTGTTGCTCAGCGTGACACAAGTCTTTGAAGGCACTTTCCATGGAGGAGACAAAGGCTGGGCTCATCCATGGCTCAGCCCTAGCCTGGGCAGGGGCACCAGGTCCCTGGGGAGAGGTTTTCTTCCAAATAGGACCCTTGGGATCACCAAGGAGAGCCAAATCCATTAATTCCTCAAGGATTATCCCCAGCTGCTCAGAGAGCTTTGACAGCTCAGCAGCACCAGCACTGGAGAAGGTGTGTGTGGACTTCCAGGTGCTTCTGCTGGAGAAAAAGGTGGTGTCCCCCATGGCTGGGATGAGTTTTGGAGCTGAGATGACTTGGGGGGATATTTCTCCTCACCTCGGGTGGGCCCTCGGGGATGAGGTGCAGGAGCTCATTGCAGGTCACAGGATTTTTATTCAGGGTCACCCTGCTGGATAAAAGAGGGGATTCTTCACATGGAGCCTCCTCCTCCATCCCCAGCTCGGGCTGAACTGCCACATCCATGGCCACACAGAGCTTGTCCAGCCTGTGCCTCAAGCCTGCCTGGAAGAGAAGGAGATTTTGGGGCTCTCCAAGGGCAGGCAGCGGTGGTGTCCTGAGCACAGCCTTTACAGAGCACCACTTCCTCCTGCATGGTTTTTATTCCCAGGATTTCCCATCCCAGGCAGCAGTGGTGCCCTGAGGACAGAGTTTAAAAGGCACAATTTCCTCCTGCATGTTTCCCACCCCTGGGATTTCCCATGCCAAGAACCGTGCCCAGCACTTGGAGCTGGGTGTCCATCCCATGGCCTGGCAGTGTCCACAGCCTGGCATGGAGAATCCTGTCTTTAAAAACTCCATTATCCCATCCCCTGTGTGAGAATGGTGGAGCTGCTGTCCGTCCCTGAGCTGCAGCTTTCAGGGAGATGAGCAGCCTGGAGATTTCAGAGGACTCTCAGCTCTCACCCCACAAAGACAGTTCAGTGGATATTTACACACCCACAGAGAGCAAAACATTTTCTAAAGGCCAAGAGGACAAAATTTTTATGTAATTAACTCAATCCAGCAATTCCTGCTCCTCCAGGCTATCCCACTTATTCCAGGAGGACAGCTCAAGGTGGAAGCTGTTTCAAGGTGTGCCATGTGCTTCCAAAATTTTCCTTTCATTCCTGATGACTTTCCATCATTAAAGCTGTACAGTTAATTATCCAGACATGCACATTCCACGGGGTCTGGACAAATTCCTGCTGAACTGGCCATGGACAGGTGCACTTTATTCACCTCCCAGTCTGCCCAGCTCCTAGTGCACAGCAGGGGAACCTCAGCAGGGCGCTCAAACACTCATTTGTCACTGCCCACCTCCATCCCAGCAAATCCAGGCTTTAGGGCAGGATCTGCCTGTGTCCCCAAGCTGTCCCCACTGTGCCTTACCTGTGTCCCCTGCAGGTGAGCCATGTGGGCTGACAGGGCCTGGAGGCAGCGCTCGGGGCTGAAGTGCACAAACCACAGCTGGAAGGGGCAGGTTAAGGAAGGGATCTCTCCGTGCCTGCCCCTCCCATCCATGTGGATGCTGGGATGGGGCTCCCAGGGAGCAGAGTTGAGGCAGGGGATGCCCTTGGGGTGCTCAGGGCAGCCAGGACCCAAATAACACAGCCCAGGGCTGGCTTTGAGCCAGGAGGGTTTGGGCTAAGACAAAACTCCAAGCTAATGGGGAAGCAGAGAGCAGCCAGTCCTGCTCCTCACCTCCTGCAGCCAGGGTCATTGCCCATGGCTCATCACAGTGACCCCACACCAGATAAACTGGGGGACACAGTGACCCAGCTGCCCTAAACCCCTTCCTGCTGTGCTGCCTTTGTTTCTAGGGATTCACTCCATTTATTTTTTACAAAATTGGCCACACTCAGTGCTGCTCTGAGGACACCGTTGAGGAGAGTTTTCCAAGAGCAGCGTGTTGGGGATGTGATTCCTGCCAGCTCTGGGGCAGCCAGAGCTCTGTCCTTGTGCATCTGCTGCAGCTGCCAGCAGCACAGGGATCCAGGAAAATGGAAAATGCAGAGGGTTAAAACGGATCTGACACTGGAGCAGACAGAGACATTGTAAATCCTTGTGTTATTTGCTGCTCTCAGGCAGTTTTGGGACACGTAGGTCGAGGTGAAGGCTCCCTGGATTAGTCCTTTAATGGACTATGCTGGCTTGAATAAAAGTGGAATGGAGGTTTATAAATGTGGAATTCAGGTTTTTAAGGGTCTCCTCCTACTCCTGAATGACTTTGCCCTCCTGCAGTTGTTCCCTGTCCCCTTCACCCTGGTTTCCTTCTCCATTTGTATTTCCAGTCTCTCTCTGTGTCTCTCTCACCTTCCTTTAACACCTTCACGGAGCCTTAAAACTCTCTTCATTCCCCTGAATCCCTCTCTAGTCCAGAAAAATCATCTCTGAAAGGTAGCAAATGAGCCCAGGGTTGGGGATTTTGGTTTTCTCCATTTTAGAGTTTTTGGGGACTGTTTGGTTTTCTCCCTTTTGTTTTTTTAGCAGATTTTGGGTTGTTCGTTTGTTTGGTGGTTTGTTTTTTTTTTTCCATAAGAACTTTGCTATCACTCTGCCTATAGGCAGAATCATCATTATCACATAACACATTTTTAGGGATAATTGTCTGCCCTAAGAAATCCCACTTCAATCCTCTAGACTGATTATTTCCAATCACCTTTGGGCATACCTCAATCCCCACTTACAGGAGAAATAAAAGCTTCCCAATTCTTCACACCATCCCATAGGAGACAAAGCAGATCCTAGGAATCCCAGCCTCTGGATCACAACATCTATACACATCTCCAGCAGGAGGCATTTATCCAGGAGGGATCTGACCAATTCCCAGCAGAAAGGATACTTGTAGGATGTTGTGTGGCCCATCCAGGACATCTGTAATCCCCAGGATTATGTTGTGTTTGATAAAGATTTCATTGACAGCTGCCAGCCTCACATCTGTGTTCACGTTTAGCTGTTAAAGAATGCAAGGGAAAAATAATACAATCCATGGCAGAAGTCTACAAACTGCAGCTGGATAATCCCAAATACTGCAGTTCTGAAAAGAAAACAGTGGAATTGATTTCCAGGGTCATGTTCTCCCTTCCATCCCCAGCTGCCTCCTTTCCTGAACCTCTGTGAACCCCCACATTTGTCTGCTTTCCTCTTGGAAAAATTATTTGCTCTGAATCCCCCTCTGGATTTTGAATCAAGACTTTCCAATATTATTCTTCAGCCAAATAAAAAGTGCCAGTGATGCCAGAGGCAGCAGAGGATGCAAGGAGGAATCATCAGGAGCAGGGCAGGAGCCAGAGCTGCTGTGGGAGCACAAACCACACTCTGCAAGGGTTGGTCTGCAGGGTGACCTTGTTGTGGCCTCTCAGTACTCCAAGAAGCTTCAAGAGCTGGAGAGGGATTTGGGACAAGGGATGGAGGGACAGGACACAGGGAATGGCTCCCAGTGCCAGAGGGCAGGGCTGGATGGGAGATTGGGCAGGAATTGTTCCCTGGCAGGGTGGGCAGGCCCTGGCACAGGGTGCCCAGAGCAGCTGGGGCTGCCCCAAGGCCAGGCTGGACAGGGCTGGGAGCAGCCTGGGACAGTGGAAATTATCCCTGCCCATGGCAGGGGTGGCACTGGATGAGCTTCAAGGTCCCTTTTAACCCAAACCAGTCTGGGATCCTCCAATGCTCTGATCTCCAGCAGCAGGAGCTCTGAGCCAGCCCAAGCAACTCCAACACTTCCATTTCAAGCATTCCATCCCCTCCCTTGGCTGCAGAGCATTCCTTGCCTTCCCTGCCTTCCCTGAGTGCTGTAAAAATATTCCTTCCTCCCTGGATCATTGTATTCTTTGCCTGCTGCTAGGGAATTCCACAGCAGGAGGAATCCTGCTCCCCTCTCTCCCACACCAGGAGCCTCCTCACCTTCCTCTGGTGACAATCAATGACCAGGATCACCAAGGCAGTGAGAGCCAGGGCCACCAGGGTCACCAGCACACCAGCCCCCCAGGAGTGCCCCAGGGAACACAGCTGGAGCGTGGAGTAAAGGTTTGTCCAGAGAGAGATGTAGAAAACCTGGGAAAAAAAAAGAGAGGCTGGTGAGAGTCACAAACCCATGAAAGTGAGAAAAGTCACATGAAGAAGAAAATAGCACTCCTTTCTCCCTTATAAATTAAATCACATGAGATTTTTCACAGGGTGAGAAAGGACAAAACTTCTTTCCAATAATAAATAGAGGAAATAAAGGACTGGAAGGACTGAGTGAGCACTAGTTTATTTTAAAAAATCACCACTCACCAAAGACAAAGAGTGAATTATTAATGATGATTCATCCCTAGGAAGGATTTCAACAGAGTTCTTCCATTTAGACAAGAAATGCACTCACTGAGGCATATTGATAATAATTCTCAGAGTCCCTGGATTTAGAAAGTTTCTATTTCAAGGAGGTGCAGAGACCACTCCATTACACTCAGCCAGTGGGCACTGACACAGGGCTCAAGGACTGGGTTAAAGTCAGGGAAAACTGGATTCCTTTACCTCACAGAGCATGGATTTACGCAGGAGATTGCCTAGGAGCCTGTGTGACATGTAGGACAAGGCATTGTCTCATAATGACAAAACTCAGGTGCACTAAACAGGCACCAAACCCCTCAAAACACTGAGCATTAATTCCTCCAGTACCAATGAAAGGAGAAGATTTGTATAATGCCTATCAAAAAAAAAAACCAAAAACGCAAAAAAAAGGAATCAAAACAAAGATTTGGTTTGATCACACCCTCAGCAGAGCACCAGCCTCACAGCAGATGCTCATGGCTGAGTCTCTGGAGGAGTTTCCTTCACCAGAAGAAGATAAACAAGACCAAAAGTTGACTGATTCGTTGGTCTAAATTAGCATCAGGACAAGAACGCCTTCAGATCTTTAAAACCAAGTTAGTAACCAAGCCTGTCACCTCAGCAGGTCACCCGGCCTGCTTCGGTGGGACTGCCAGCAACGGGGTGGAGAGAGGGCCCTGCCCTCCATCTGCAGGAATTCTGCGAGCTGGGATTGCCAGGGGAGCCCAGCAGGAACGTGTCAGAGGCAGGATTTGCTGGCCAGCCAAACCCCCTGGGCACAAGAACCCTGGTGCTGGGCTGAGGAGCCAGCGGTGACAGGCTGAGGAGCCCACAGTGCCAGGCTGAGGAGCCCACAGTGCCAGGCTGAGGAGCCCACAGTGCCAGGCTGAGGAGCCCACAGTGCCAGGCTGAGGAGCCCACAGTGCCAGGCTGAGGAGCCCACAGTGCCAGGCTGAGGAGCCCACAGTGCCAGGCTGAGGAGCCCACAGTGCCAGGCTGAGGAGCCCACAGTGCCAGGCTGAGGAGCCCACAGTGCCAGGCTGAGGAGCCCACAGTGCCAGGCTGAGGAGCCCACAGTGCCAGGCTGAGGAGCCCACAGCTCCAGGCTGAGGAGCCCACAGTGCCAGGCTGAGGAGCCCACAGCTCCAGGCTGAGGAGCCCACAGTGCCAGGCTGAGGAGCCCACAGCTCCAGGCTGAGGAGCCCACAGTGCCAGGCTGAGGAGCCCACAGTGCCAGGCTGAGGAGCCCACTGCTCCAGGCTGAGGAGCCCACAGTGCCAGGCCGAGGAGCCCACAGTGCCAGGCTGAGGAGCCCACAGTGCCAGGCTGAGGAGCCCGTGGTGCCGGGGCTGCACGGTGCCCTCACCACAGCCATGGCGATCTGGAAGCCCCTGGAGCTGTAGAACAGGTACCGCCGCACTTCAGGCCTCAGGACGCCCTCCTGGATCAGCCTTTTCCACGGATCTGCCGGCACCTGCCCGGGAGAAAACATAAAACCAGAGCCACCCTCCGGTTTGGGTTCCCAAACCCAGCAGAACTGGACTGGGCAACCCAAATCTGTGTCCCAGAGCTGCCTCCCACAGGGAGCATCTCCAATCCCATCCTCAGAGCTGCCAAAACTTGTGCTCCTGCCTCAGCTGCAGAATAAAACCTGCCTGGGAAGGGCAGCGTAAACCACAAGTGAAGAAAATGCCTTCTTGTGATGAAGGACAAGACAAGGCAGATGTCCCAGGGATGCTCTGCCCTATCAGAGTGAATTTTAAGCAAAATTCACTCCAAACTATCTTCAAATTGTTTCTTCAAGGAGCCAACTTCATCCCAGTTGACTTCCAGCCCACAGGGAATAGAGTGAAGTTGGACTGAAACTAGCAACTCTCAAAAAAAAACCCCAGAGCCATGTGGGACATGGGTGTAAATGCAAATTACACAAATCCAGCTGGAACTAACTCCCAGGGGAGCTCACCTGGACCCCGAGGGACTGCAGTTTCTCAGCACAAAGGTCCATGTCGAAGGAGGAGGTGGGGCAGGTGTTGTCCATGCTGAGCACCAGCAGCACCCGGCCTTGGGGGGGTTCTGCAAGAGCACAGTGAGCACAGTGCTGGGAGGTTTAACCCCACAGCACCTGGCAAAGGGGAGCCTGACAACACAAACCACCCTGGTGTCTTTTAAACTGATCCAGGATCCTTGGCCACTGCTAAGGAGCTCTGGAAGCAGCCCGAGACCCTCTGGAAGGAAACAAACTGCAGAAAGGGAGGAAAGCCCAAAACCACCCCAGGAGTGAGCAGCCAGAGATAACAGGAGGTGACAGGGTGCTCTGATCAGCAGCACAACCGTGTCCTGCCTCAGCAATGCCTGACTGGAAGGACAGTGGGCTCAGGCTGCTCCATGGTGCTGAGGCTCATTTCCCTCTTGGAGACCCCCCCACCATAAAAACCAATTTGAGCCATTAATTAAAGCACTTTCCAGCATTCCCACTGCTTGTGGCAGGGCTGCCCTGGAGCAGCCACAGACCCTCCAGCAGCGTTCCTGGAGCGTGGCTCTGCTCAACGCTCTTCCAGTGTCAGCTTGGGACAGGATCAGAGATGCATCCTAGAGACTCAAGTCAGGAGCCTAAAAAGTGAGAGGACAGCCTGTCCTAGATTTGAGGAGCAGCACAGGAGAGCTGTGATCTCCAGGCAGCCCATCTGGCATCCACCAGGAGCTTACACAAGCTGTGCTACAGCAAGAGGAAGAGTTTGGGCCTAAGGAAGTGGCTGGTTCAGCTGAGATCCTGCTTCACTGAAAGATTTCACCCGAATTTCCTTCCCCTTTGCAGCTCCAGGGTCAGCCAGGTGTCCCTTGGCTGCTCCTGGGGACACTTTGAGCAATAATGGGGCCCTGCTGGAGGGTGTGGGGGGTGTGAGTGAACAGCCATCCATGGCTCTGCCTGCTGCCAGTGGGCTCCAAGCCCCAATGTCCCACCTGGCCTTGGGCACTGCCAGGGATCCAGGAGCAGCCACCCTGTGCCAGAGCCTCAGCATCCTCACAGCCAGGAATTCCTGCCCAATATCCCATCTATCCCTGCCCTCTGGCAGTGGGAGCCATTCCCTGTGTCCTGTTCCTTTCTTGTAGCCCCTTCAGGCTCTGCAAGGCCACACTGAGCTCACCCCAAAGCTTCTCCAGGTGAACAATCCCAGCTCTGCCAGCCTTTCCTCCCAGCAGAGCTGCTCCATCCCTCTGATCCCCCTGGAGCCTCCTCTGGATCTCTCCAGCAGCTCCAGGTGCTCCCTGTGCTGGTCCCAGGGCTGGGGCAGCTCTGCAGGTGGGGTCTCACCTGGGCACAGGGACAGAGGGGCAGAATCCCCCTGCTGTCCCCAGCACAGGTCATGTTTCCCAAAGAGTTCTCAGCTTCAAAGGCCAAGAGGAGAGGACTTGCAGGGGGCTGCTTTTCAATAGGTTGATTTGTTCATTCCTGCATATCAGGCATTCCAAAAAAAACCCCAAACCATCTCCCTCCCCTTCCCAAAATGCTGAACCATCCACAATGTTTTGTTTCTTTCACAAGTGAGATGCTGTTAAAGAGCATCTTTGATAAAATCTGTCAGTGGTTATTTTAAGGACACTGAGCTCAGATCTGCCTCTCCTTATCAACAAGCTCCCTTACCTGTCACCCACTGCAGGGCTCCTTCCTTGAAATCACCCTTACAGTACAGGAGGGAGGACTCTTTCTTCTCAGTTCCACCAGTTTGGGTTTTCTGGGCCATGCTGGAGGTGCCTCTCCTTGAAGGATTCAGTGTTTTCTGGTCAGAAACTCAGCATTTCTCTTTCAAATTCAGCATTTCTCTCTCTCCCTTCTGGGAAGCACCAACCAGCCCCACAGCAGCTGAGTGGGGAGCAGACTGTGAAACCCTCACTCCCACTGCTGCCTTCCTGGGGATCCAGCTTTCCACGAGCCACGAGGCATTTTCAAGCCCTGAAAAGAGGAAAAAGAAAATCCCAAATCTTGCAGAGACAACAAATAAAGGCTAACAGCAGTGACTGTGCTCCTGGGGGATGTCAGCACCTGGTGCTGGCCAGTGCAAGCTCAGTACACACAGACTCACTTTTTACATTTGTTTTTTTGTTGAGAGGTGAAAAAGCTATCGTTAAATATTCTTAAATTATCCTGGCATCCGTCAGCGATCCCATTTTGCAATTAGCAAGGAACAGGCAGGATTTCTCCTTGCCAAGCCTCTTTGCCATCACCTTCAGAAGAACCTGAAGCTGGTGGAAATGCTCCTCCTGGAGGTGACACTCCTGCTCAGTGACAAGGGGCAGATCCACGGGATGGGAGGGGTGCAGATAAGGCAGAAAAATGCATCTGCTGAAGGCAGGAGCTCCCACCCAGCAGCAGTGAAGCCTTTCAGGGTCTCTGCTCTTTCCTTTTCCCTCTCCTCCCTTTCCCTTTTCCCTCTCCTCTCCCCTCTCCTCAGGGAAGCTCTCACAGCACATACCATGCCCAAGGTTTTCCAGGTGTTTTTTCCCTGCTGACACAGCTCTCTGACCTCCTGCCAGCACCTGTGGGCGGCTGTTTAATGCTTGGAAGACTCTGGAGTTTATTTCTCAATTACTTTCCACTCCAGCTCTCCAAAACCAACACTTACTTTATAACCTCTGCTCAAACCAGGAGCCTGTTGCTGTCTCCTGGTGGGAGGATCCCTCTCAGATCTCACCTACTCTCCTTCCAAAGGGGATTGTTTTGTTTCTGACTTTATTTTTTTTCTGGTGGTTGTGGCTGTATTTACCCCTTTGCACAAAGCCAAAACAGTCCCTGGTTGAAGAATGACAGAAAGGAAATGGAGGCAAGAGAAACAACATGAGAAATTCTTCTGATTACAGGGAAAAAAAACCCAAAAGGACTGAAAAGTCCCACTTAAAGTCTCAAAGTGAGTGTGGGCACACAGGATGGGCACAGCACCTTCTCTCCACCTGCATAGGGGAGGAGAGATTCCCCTGGGCACGGCTCTGCCATGAGGATCATGAGCACCACGTCTACAGGGCACATCCCAGCACCAAAAGGTGCATTCAGACCAGATTTTCTCACTCCTTTCCCTCTTTTGCCATCCAACAGAAAGGAGTGTAAAATCAAGACAGAAAATCCCACAGAAGACAGAAGCAAAGAGTGAAAAAACAGGGGAAACAAAAGAAAAAAACTAATTAGAAACTGAAGAAAAACCTGATTAAAACCAACCACCCTGCTGCTGCTTGCACATCCATTTGGAGATGAATCAAGGCTCTCTGGCTCAGATGATGAGAATTTTTGGGTCTGTGGAGGTGACAGTGAAGGTGCAGCAGCGCAGCCATCCCCGGGAGGGAAACAGCCTTCCCCATGTGCTCCTCAGCCAGAGCAGCTTTGTTTTACCTCTTAGTGCAGCACAGTTTGGCTCTGCTGCCTTTTCCTGCAGAACTGCCCATTTGGGGATTTGGGTCCCCCCAAACATCTGATCCCTCCCGAGCCACCTCGAGGAGCAGCCTCTCCTCTCCTGCACTCCCAGGCTCTGTGCTCCCCAAATTTCTTCTTATTCTTTATGCAATGCCAACATCCCTCTGGTGAACTGACTTCCTTCTTTTTTTGGACACCTCCAAGCCCTCACTAAACAGCAGAGAAACACCCAGCAGATCCTTCTGCCTCATTCCCAGGGCAGCCAGCACAGCCTTACCTGCTCCAGCTCACTCCTGGTGCTGGGGATGCAGCTCAGCCTCCTCCTCCTCCTCCTCCTCCTGCCTGTCCTTTGTGTGCCACTGTCCCCCTCTGCCCTGCACAGGCGTCACACCGTGCCACCCCCGAGCAGGGAGGTGCCAGCCTGTGTCCCTCTGTCCCCTGTGGCTCCTGGCAGTAGGGATTACCCAGGCCTGTGCCCCTGCCTCCCTCTCCTCACCCTGAGCTGCAAGCACCGACTTGCAAAATCTCCCTGCTGCATGTGACTGTCCCGCCAGGCTGAGCTCACAAATTTGCTTTTAACCCTCTGGAGTTCCTCAAAAGTGTTCCCATGCTGAAGGCACGGCCACTGGGCCACATTGTCCTCCTCACCTTCAGCAGGGTGGGGGTCCAGAGCTGGAGCTGGAGCCTGAAGAATGTGAAGAGCTGAAGAGTGGCACAGACAGGAGGCTCTCTCCTTCCTCCTCCTCTTGGATCAGGCAGGCAGGGTTCAGGAACTACAGATCCCACAGTTGCACCACATCAGCTCCTGTGAGTGTTGCTGTCAAAGGCAAACACCCAAGACAGGGCTGGAGACATCAGAAGAGGCAAACACAGATCTCAAGGCTGACAAGAGGTCATTGTTTATCAAAAGGTCATGGAAAGCACACAGGAACAGGGATGACAGGCAGGGCAGGAGCTGTAGCCCTCCCCAGACCAGGAGGCTGTGCTGATGTGGAGCAAGTTTCCCCTCCAGCAGCTCCAGAAGAAAAGCAGGAGGCTCAGGCAGAGTCAGACAGATCCCCCAGAGCAGCTGCACATGCTGAAGTTGTTTGACAATGCTGAAACACCATGAAAACAGAACTCCTTAGCCTGGGAATTGTGGTGTCAGAGCTCCCCAAAAGCTGCAGGACCCATGGAGGGTTGGAACAAAGCAAATCCAGCGGTGAATGGTTGAAAGAAAAGGAAGAATCAGCTCTTGCAGTGTCTGTGTGCCCTTCCTGGAACAAAGGCCTCTCTTCTCCTGCAGGGATGGGTTCTGCAGCCCTGCCTGCTCCAGAGCTGTGAGTTCACCCCATCACGTGGCTCCACAGGCAACAGGAACAACTCCAAAAACCACTCGCCCTCATGGGATCTTGTTACACTGGAAACTGGCAACACCATCCAGGTACTGGGAAAAATCCCATAAATCTGTCACCAGCTCCAATCCCCACCTGAGACAGGGCCATGGGAAGCTTTGGGCTCTTTTGCAAACGCTCCTCATCAAAAGTTTTGGCTTTGTTTGCTCCTCACCCACACAGAGATGCTGACAGAGAGCTCAGAAGCCAAGAGCACTGCCAGCTCTCCATGGAAAACACCCCAGGCAAATCCCTGTGGGACAATAAACTTGAAAGCTGATGAACTTGAAAGTGGATAATGAGCTGCAGCACATGCCTGTGCCCCTCTTGCTCAGCAAGACACACAAGGTCTCGGTTTCAGCACCTCCAGCAGCAAACTCCTGCTCATCTGAGAGGAGCGTAGGGATCACCAGAGACTGGAATCCCAGCATGGTTTGGAAGGGACCTCAAAGCCCATTTTAATTCCACCCTTCCACCAGCCCAGGCTGCTGCTCCAAGCCCTGCCCAGCCTCCCCTTTACCACAACATCTGGGGAGTTCCCCCCACCCCATTTTCCCCAATTCCTGCAGTGCTGTGCAGCTGCTCGTGGATTGCTCGGAGTTGATGTATTTGATTTCACCTTTCTCAGTTACTCTTCCCTGCAGGGAGGCTCAGGCTATTGGTTTCAGATCATTTCTCCCACTTACCAAGATCATTTGGAATTGTGATTCAGTGCTCTGTACTGTTTGTATCTCTTCCCAGCTTGGTGCCCTGGACTTACATTGTACTCCCTGTTCCACCTGCTGCATTAATGAATATATTATATATTACAGGGAAGCTGATTCCAGGGAAATGAAAAAATCTGCTTTTTCAAGACAAGTTTGAGCACTGTCCCAGGCTGACAGTGCCCACCCACCCCTCCCAGCCTCGGGAATAACCTCACCCTTCATCACATCCTTCATTTCTGAGGTCACTCTTCAGCACCTATTTGAAGTCTCACTGCTTTAAATAATCAGACACACACATTTAGTCTGTTTTTGCCTATTCTGGCCATGTTCTCTCTGTGTTTACTCCATGTTTTGATAAACTGAGCTCCTTTGCAGGATTTGGAATCCACACCCCTGTGATTCCAGCTTTTTTGGCCACAGTCTGCATGTGGTTGCAGTTTCTCCCCACGTCAGCCTTGTTTGGACTGTGCACACTGCAGCCAACACTGCCACATCTCATTTTCTTTTGATGAAACTGCATTTTCAGTGGAGAACCATGCCATCCTTCTCCTATTTTTTTCCCTAGTGAGCCTTAATTAGGAGAACAAAGTTGTTGAAAGCCTTGTCTTGCCCTTCTCCTCCCTTCCTGCACACAAAGTCCTTTTACTCTGCGTTGTTGGATTTTTTTGTCAGCAGAGCTCACAGATTGACAGTCATTAAATATAAAAATTTATTTCCCACTACCCATAAATTACAAGTTTCAAATGAAGAATGACACTTGCTTAAGGCACGAAGCGTGGTTCTTATCTTTTTTTCCTGCTTCTGCCTTTTTCCTATGAAGACTTAAAGTATTATTCTTTTTACTATGGTAATGCAAAAACCTCTTTTCTTGAATCTCAAATTAAAAGAGGTAAAGCTCGCTATGTGCCTGGGATAATGATTCAGCTATTGATCCAGAAGATGCTTTATTAGATTATTTTGAGGCAGATGAATGTAATTTAATACCAATTTATTTTCTATTCCTATGCCAGTCCAAGATACAATCTTTTCTGCATGAAATTAGCACTTTCTCCTTTCAGCCTCAAAGAGATATTACACTGTGCTCCTTCCTTGGATTAATTTGGGAAAACTTTTTCAGCAGAACATTGATCTAGAGGGTTCTTGATAGTATTTTCTGTTAAGACTTTAAAGCCAAGCCTTCAGCTGGGATCAGCAGTTCTTGGCTTGTCTCTCCCATTATGCATTAATGCAAGAACTAGTGAAGAGAGATAAAGGGGAAAGAGATTCCAGATGGGGAAAACAGAGGCAAAGAGGGAAAACAGAGCAGGTTTAATGCAGGCAGAGAGAAGGGAGAGGAGCTGCATTATTTTTACATGGTCATTTGTCACCTCCAGGCGACACTGCAGGGTGGTCCTGCCCCACAACAGCAGGACAGCAGCTGGGATACCCCATCCTGCTGCCCACACCTCTCATGAGCTGCCTCACAAGCCAGGAACTGCTGATTTTCTATAGAGTTATCAAATTCTACCTGCTTCGGGGTCAGCTGGGCTCCAGGGTGGGAGAAAACAGCAGAAGCCCAAAGCTGGGGATGGCAGGAACAGGACAGAGGGACTGCCAGCAGCTCACTGGGCTGTATCTGGCATTGAAACAACTCCAGATTTAATAAAGATCATCAGGAACTGTGCAGTGACTTCACAAAAGCAGAAAAATAAGGAATTTAAGGTTGCCAAATGTGGATTTGCCCCATGGAGCACCCTGATGCCATCCAGCACAGCCAGCCTGGCACCTCAAGACAGAGAGGGGAAGGGCTCCTGGACCTCCAGCAGCAGGAAAATGTAGAGTCCTCTCCCTGCTTCTCTCTGCCCAAATCCAGCTGTCAGGGGAGCTCCTGCTAAAGCACTGCCAGCCAGGATTGCTGCCCCCCTACTGAGAACTCTCTGGACTCCAGATCCAGGGTTAGAGGCAATTTCCTTCCTTTATTTCATAGGATCATGGAATCACAGAATATCCTGAGCTGGAAGGGACCCCCAGGATCACCCAGCCCAGCTCCCAGCCCTGCCCAGACCCCCCAACATCCCAGCCTGGGCATCCCTGGAGCTCTGGCAGCCTCGGGGCCGTGCCCATTCCCTGGGGAGCCTGGGCAGTGCCAGCAGCCTCTGGGGGAAGAACCTTGCCCTGATGTGCAGCCTGAGCCTGGCCTGGCCCAGCTCCAGCCGTTCCCTGCCTGCTGTCCCTGTCCCAGAGCAGAGAGCGGAGCTGCCCCTCGGGAGGAGCTGCAGCCCCCGGGGAGCTCTGCCCTCAGTCTGCTCCAGCTGAACAATCCCAGTGCCCTCAGCTGCTCCTCATGGGCCCCTCCAGACCCTTCCCATCCCCGTGTCCCTCCTTTGGACACTCTCTCCTCACACTGTAGTGCCCAAAGTGTCCCCAGGAGCAGGAGCCAGGTGGTATTTCCAGGGGTGGGAGCCCAAATCAAGGGAATCTCAACCGTGGTGTGTGTGCCTAAAGCAGCTTCTGCTCTTTCTGTGGTAGCTGAGCAGGCTGTGGCTCAGTCCTGAGGGATTGTCAGACTCCCAGACTGGTTTGGGTTGGAAAGAGCCTCTAAAGATCACCCAGTGCCACCCCCTGCCATGGCAGGGACATCTCTCACTATCCCAGGTTCTATTCAGGAAAGAATCTCAACTGGAAATAAAATCTCTGCACTGCACAACACAGTGACAGCCTTCCTGGAGAGCAATAATTGGAAATGCTTCCTTCAGTGCAAAGTTGGAATCATTCTCAACATTAAGTTTCAGGAAAGTATTACAGAAAATTATTATCCTTGCAAGACATTAACACTTTGCATATTCTAAAGGGAGCTTCTTCACAGCACATTTGCCAAGGAGAAATAATCATGGAGGATTTTTTTCCCCCTTTTTCTCCTGCTTCTGTTCTAAAGAAGGATAAAAGTCCTCATTAACCAAGGGAAAGTTATGAACCAATATGAGAAAGTGGAACACACACTTCGTTTTTTCTGGACAGAGTCTCAGTCTGTCATTGATAAGAGAGGGAATGAAATTGCTAATTACAGCCTGGAGCAAGGAGGGCTTTGAGAAGCATCCTGCTGGAGCCTGAGCACCTGCTCTCAACAGGGAGAAATGTCTCATCTCCAAAGGACACAGTGGAATTAGCACGGCTGCAACCTTGTATGAGGCCATAACACCTCTCCACATTACAGCACATGGATTAAAACTGCTTTGATCCTGTTCTGCTTGTACCCACCTGTCTTCTCTCCCAGCCTGGCACGTTTGACTTTGCAAGAAAGCTTTTGTTTCAATTTTACAACCCGTTTAATAGCTTGAATTCCTGAAGAGATCTTTCCAGGAGTACAGCGCACTACCATAAAATATGACAAGAGGAGACACCGGAACTGTCTGCTCCTGCCTGCAGGATTCACATCCACATCCATCCTGCTTTTTTCCCCTCCCTATCACAACTCCAGAGGTCCAAGAGGTTTTGCAATGCCTCACTGAGGAGCTGCAGAAATCAGGATGTTCTCTCTGAGGAACAGAACAGCATCCACGAGGCTCCTTGCAAAGATCCCAAACTGCACAACACCTGGGCCAGATCAGGGACATGCTGAGGTCCCTTCTCCACAAAAAGCCTGGAATTTGAACTCAACAAAACAGCAAAGCTGCATTTAATATTCTGCTGGTAAGAGGGAGAAACCACCGAACCATGAAACCCCTAGATGTATTTGTGTGTATTTTTTATTAGAGCTAGAAAGTGATGCAGACAACCCCAAAACTCTTCTTTCTCACTGTTCCCAGGCACAGGATGCTGCAGGATTCAGAATGACCTTGGTATAAACACGCAGTGACCAGCACTGGACCCAAGGAAGGGTAATTACTGTGCAGCACCTGGCTATCAAACTATTCCAATGAACTGGCATCATTTTATTTCCCCTAATAGTCACAAGAACATTTGTTCCTGAAGGTTTTCAGAATGATCTGGCAGGTAAAGCATCAGACTGGAGCCAAGAGGAGGAGCTCTGTAATGGGTTTTAACTTACCTGCTGTGACCTTCAGATATTGGCTGTCTCTCTTAAACTTTCTTTTATCAATATTTGATGCTCACTCTGCAGACTCCCAGGGTGCCCAGTGAGACCTGCCAGCATTCCCAGAACAAGTCAGCAGGAAAAACCAGACTGAGCAGAGGCTTTGGAGTGAAGTGTTTTTACTTTCAGGTGTCATAGTGCCAGACTTGTACCTCAAGCTAACAGCAGAATATACAGAGGATTCGATACAGAGCAACTCAAGCACCTGAAAATGATCAGCCAGGACTTGCACAGCCAGAGAATTCTTCTTACAGGGTTTAAACCCTGTGCAGAGGTTTAACAACACACTGGGAAATGCAGTTTGGTCAGCAAGAATACAGGTACACAATTTACAGGTTTAACAATTACTGACACAGGCCAGCAGCTCTCTCCCTTTCCTATTTCACAGAAGGAAGGCTCTCACTGAACACCATCACCATGGAAAGGGAGCACTCCTGTGCCAGCTGGAATATTTATTTAATAACAGCACAGATCTGAGACATGGCCACTTCATGTTTGAATAAGCTCTGAATTCGTGTCAAACGAGAAACTGAGAGAACTCCAAGAGCTCACTGAAATAATTTAACACATGTACAAGGAGGACAGGTAAGGTATGGCTATGAGCTGTACATTCCACCTGAAGCTCAGACTTTACTCCCAGCACTGCCAGGACACTCCTTTCTCCCAGCACTACCCATTGATGCGATAATTCACGTGGATCTCAGGTTTGATGTCACACACCAGTGACAGCAGCTGGGACATCACCACCTCCCGGTTCTTCTGGAAGTTCTGCTGGATTACACTCATCTTTTCCTGAGTCTCTTTCTCAACTTCAGTGGTGCAGCTGCCATGGGAGCCAAGGGCCTACAAACAGCAAAGGAAAGAGGAATCACCACACCAAGCTCTGTATTTTGATATTCTGGACCATCTCGGACATTAATCTTTGTTGAGGGAAGGTTAATGTTAATGTTCATATTTTAAAAAGTACTGCTGGATTTTCTGCTCAGATTTCACCCTAAACTTGTCCAAGTATTTCATCCTCAGTCCCTGCCTTTTGCCCTCTTTTATAGAATCATCAAATGGTTTGGGTTGGAAGGGACCTTAAGGATCACTTTTTTCCAACTCCCTGCCATTTATTCATTATCCATCAGTTTAGAGCATGAGTTTCTAAGGAGTGCCCAAATTAAAGGTCCTGCTGTGCAGACAACTGGAATCCCTGGGCACAACTGCACTAGAGAGTGCAAGAAAAGGAACTCCCAGGAGTCACTTTAAGCACAATTCCCATACCCCATTCCTCCTACCCTTGGAGAATCTTTATAAAAACCTCAACCTTCCCTTTTGGTGACCAGGGACACAGCAAGTGGGCTCTGCCACGTCAGCACCATGGAAACAAGCCTGTGACAGGAGCAGCGAGCTCAGTCTCTTTTGGACACAGCAGCTTTTAGGAGGCTGTCACCCCTCAGGGCACCCAGGAGCTTATTAAGCTCTTTCCCTGCAAGCTGAGATGCAACACACCATGTCCTGAGTCACTTCCACGGGTTTTTCTGGAACATGTGGCTGTGCCTCACAGGAAGGAACTTTGGGGAACTGCTCCTGCTACAACTCGCTCCACCCTGAGGGTGCTGCCAGAGCAAGGAAGTCCCAGCACAAGGCAAAGGGGTTGGAAATAAGTGAGTGATGGAGAACACCAACCGCTGCCTCCTTGGCCTTGAACTCCTTCTCCCGCTGCAGGCGGTACTGCTCGATCTCTGCCTGGGCCTCCTCCTTGGCCTGCTTCAGCCTCCGGTTCTTCCCTGTTCCCAAAGGACAAACCAAGGCAAAGACAGAAGAGAAAGCACTGAGAGCTGGTTTTCCTAATTCACAGCCATCACCACAGTGTTTGCTCCTTCTGCAGGAGGCATCAGCCAAGCTCCCTCCCCAAGTTTGGTTATCTCAGGAGGGGCCCAACAAACCATGGCTGAGGTCACCAAGCCTGAGCTTTCTGCACTGAGCAGTGGAGAGCATCTTGGAGTGTGTGGATGCATCAGGCAACCAACATCCAGGTCTGGCTTTATTCACAGAATGAGTCTCAGACTGGTTTGGGTTGAAGGAACATTAAAGCTCATCCCATTCCACCCTGCCATGGGCAGGGACACCTTCCACCATCCCAGGCTGCTCTAAGCCCTGATCAACCTGGCCTTGGGCACTGCCAGGGATCCAGGGGCAGCCCCAGCTGCTCTGGGCACCCTGTGCCAGGGCCTCACTGCCCTCCCAGGGAACAATTCCTTCCCAATATCCCATGTAACCCCACCCTCTGGCACTTTCCATACAAAAAGTACCTCTCCCTCCTTTTCAAAAGCCTCTTTAAGGCCTTGAAAGGGATTCTGAGGTCTCTCTGGAGCCTTCTCTCCAGATGAATACCCCCAGTTCCCTCAGCCTGGTTCCAGAGCAGAGGGGGTCCAGCCCTTGGAGCAGCTCTGGGGCCTCCTCTGGATCTCTCCAGCAGCTCCAGGTGCTCCCTGTGCTGGTCCCAGGGCTGGGGGAATCCCCGCTGCCCCCCCGTCCTCAGCGCCGGGCCGCAAGGCCTGAGGGGGCCGCGCCTGGACAGGCCAAACCGGGCCGGGCCGGGCTCCCCCGCAACCACACCCCCAGCGGCGGGGCCTGGAGGAGCCGGGCAGTGTCGTACTCACTCTTGCGGGCCTCGGCCACCTTCTCCGCGGCGCGCTTCTCCGCCTGCAGCAGCTGCTGGATGCCCTGCGACTGGCTCGCCATGGCGGCCGCTCCGTCCGGCCGGCCGCGGCAGCGTCACTGCGTCACGCGGGACACGCCCACCCGCGCTGGTCACGCCCCCGGCCACGCCCCCTCACAGCCATAGCCCCTGGCGCGCGGCCTAAGCCCCGCCCATCATCCGACTCCCGCCGCTTGGCCCCGCCCACTGACGCGCATAATGTTTTAGCTCCGCCCCACTGCTGCTTGACCACGCCCCTTCGTTTGTGAGGGGCGCCCCTGGCAAGGCCGGGTGTGACCTCGCTGTCCCCTTCCTGAGGCCTTTCCTAACCCTAACCCTGTCACAAAATACACTTAAACCCCCGCAGGAATGCGCTGATGGAGTTTGGTTTTGTTTCTAACCGCTGGAACTGCGGCAGCCCGCGGATGAGCAGTGACAAGAGCACCAGGGATGCTCGTGGGCTGTGGCATCTCCTCCCCGCTGCTGGCATGGCGGGTGTCACCCCCAGCGCAGAGCCACTGGTGCTCAGAGCAGAGGTTCCAGAGCAGTTACAGACTTTACAATTATCCTGGACAACCTTTGCCAGGGGCTCCCAGAGAGCCAAGTGTCCCCCGACCATCCCCACACTTCTCCCCATCCCTCACCCATCACATCCCAGGGGCCACTGAAAGCCCTGAGCGCAGCTCCCTCGGCACTTTCGGAGCATAAATTACAATTATTGTCAAATAATATCGCTCTGATGAAGCCTCAGAGCCAGGACAGTGACTCATCGCTGCCGGGAGAGGCGGGGGGACTGCCGGTCCGCCTCCTCCATCCCCCGTGATGGAAGGGACAGGAGACAATGAATCAAATGCATATTTATAGTGCTGAATAGGAATTATGAGTGTTTTCAGGGTGACCTTCAGCTGGGCCCAGCGATCAAGTGAATAGACTTGGCGTGCTCATCCATTCAGGGGGATATTCACTTCAGTAGAAGATAAAAGGAAAGATGGGGAAAAGAGCTCGGACCATAATTTGGGAGTTTGAAGGAAGGCTGGGATGCTGGGATGGGGCACTGGGAGCCACTGGGAGTAAAAGGATGAGCTGTGGCATCACAGCCGGGCTGTGCTGGCAGAAGGAAAACCCAGGAAATCTGGTCCTGCATCATCTGTCAGAGATGGGGCAGCTCCAGCCCCGGGGACATGCTCAGGAGCTGTGCTGGTTGTCAGGGAGCATAGGACATCATAGAATGGTTTAGGCTGGAAGGGGCCTCATTGAGTTCCAGCCCACCCTGATGTGCTGTCTCTATTCTGAAATACCAAAAAATCTGGTGGGATCAGCTGAAGCAGATCCAGTCTCCTTTACAGCAGTAGCAACCCAGAAATGAGGTTCTGCTCATCTGACCCGAAGCCCCAGGAGCCCCTGCCCTTCTCTCACCTCATACCAAAGCCACAAAATCATTAAACTCTGTCTCCCACAGCCCTCAGACGATGTCCCTCAGCCCCACTCCCATCCAGAAACCCACCAAGCTCATTAGCTGTTCCCATGTTAATTAAATCACTTGAGCTGAACCAGAGGTGACCCCAGAGCAGGATGCTCTGATGGGGATACCAGGGATCAAACAGGGTTGGAGCAAAGGGGTCCAAAGGGGTCTGGCTCTGCCCTGAAGTCACAGGCAGCACTGGGGTGTTGTTTTTCTCCTGGGTGATGGTGATTTTGAGACTCACAGCTTCTGTCTGTAAGGTGACAATGAGAACACTGCCCTTTTCTGCCCCCTGAAATACTTTGGTGCTGATCACACTAAATTTTCAGGCAAAAATCCCTCTGAATTTCAGCCCTAGTTTACTTAAAAAATCACGTGATGAGTTTTTAGCAATTTCATTCTGACAGTTAACAAATGAGACAGTAACAGTTCATATTTAAAATAATCTTTTGCTTGGTTGTGTTGCTTTCTAGCTTACAATTGCCCAAAAGCTAATTGAAACCTCATGGTGTGTGTCACATGAAACACATGTGAATCCAAATGCTGTTGGAACAACCGCCCCATGCACTTAATGTTTGGAAAAAAATCGCTTCTTGCTGGTTGCAAAACCAAAAACAAAGCAAAACCCATCATTTCCAATCCTCAGACTTGCACAGGTATAAATAAAAGCTGCTGGAACCACTTGAATTTTACCAGAAATGGGTTCATAATTAATTATCATCAGAAGTACTTCGGAGCTTGGTTTTTATTCCCTCAGATTCACGGAATGTGAGCTTGTCATTCACTATTAGAGGAGGCAGCTCTTGCTGACACTGACACTGGCATCCCTTTATTTGTCCAGCACTGGGAAAAAGACATCTGAGGATGATAAACTTCACCAATCCTAAATTTCAT